CCTTATCTTAAAGCACAGAAAGTCATTTATGGCAGCTAATTTTATGCTATGATATTTGTATGTTCGGTATTGGCGATCAATTTCGTTTGTGCCTTGCTAATTATATAGTGAATCTGTCTCATTTTTTCCCTATCAATCTCTAGGCTCATTAATCTAGCATGCATGTAATATTTGCCCTACTTTTCTGATACTATGCCTTAACTTATATTTGAACTTTTACTAATACTTCTTTTGGTTTTAGGGTTTTGGCCTGCTTTTGTTCACTTGTGTCTCTTTTTGTTCTTGTGAACATTGCACACTACAGCATTTTTGGCTATGATGATTCAACTATAATTACTTAAAAATCCCTTAATCTTTAAACTTTTAAAGCTCTATCTGCTGTTTATTCAATATTTATCTCCTGAGTATTATTATTATCGTCCTATATTTACTTCTGATTTTTAAAAAATCTTGTTACTCTATTTTTATTACACTTATCAGTGTTTTTCTTTCATTATGTAAACATTTTATTTTCATCTGATTGTTAATACTAGAGCTTATTTGATTTTTATTATTTTTATTTATTTTCGTTCATAGCCCTCGAGTCGCATGGGTGCCGTGGGGCCTATTGCCTTGGCAACTAAAGACCCGTCTCCAACTGTCCCTTCTGTCGTGCAATGTTTACTCACAGACCCTATGTCGCTGGTAGAGGAGCGTGCCGCATTGCAGTTAGCCAACGCACAGGCCCGCCTTGCTAAAGCTAGGCCGATTCGAACGGCGGAATACCTTCCATTTGTTTTTGATCAGCTGGCCGAGGTACAAGATACCGCTGGCTATCTCAAGGACTTTAAGGTAAATTTTATATTTTATGCCTTCAATTACAGTTGGTCAAAGCCTAAGTACTATTTTTTGGAGATTTTCATTTAGTATGAAAGTGCCTGATGTGATTCGTTGGTCGATTTTACCAGAAGACCACTACTGATTATCGTTATTTTGCAGTCCTTCAGGTTGACGCAGTCCATGAGATATCCTCTCTCGTTTCGGGTTAGAATA